ACGCCCCATGTGACACTCTCTTTGCTTTAGGTCTCCCAGTCAAGTGTTCCAGAAGCTGGCTTTCCATGTGGTCCCTGGCTGACCATCGTCATTAGCATCATCCAGTTCTTAAGACTAAAGGCAGGAAGCAGAAGTGAGTGGAGACATTTCTCAGAGGCCACAGTGGTGGCGGTGGCAGCAGCAGCAGCGGCAAGACTACTGAGGGTTTCTCTCTTCACCTGTGTTTTTTTTTTTTTCCTTCAGAGCATTTTTACCATATGCTGGCCCTCCTCTCTCCATGCCACAAGCCATTGCCACTTTGCTCACATTGTACTCCGAGATCCTAGTAGGGGCCAGACCTTCCATGGGGCCATGGGTTGTTCTAACAGGGTGCTACAGGTCTGGTAGGGTAGCCAGGCAGGTACAGAAACAACTGGAACACCCAGGGTTTTCAGGCCCTTAGGAAAAGTGTGACCAGTGAGGGGGGAATAACAGGATCTCCGTGTTTGATCGGGGCTGGGGGCAGAGTGGTGGTAGGAACCTGGCAGGAACCAGACCCTGAGGAAAGACCCCTCTGTGGCTTCATCTCAAAGGTTTAGAGTCAAGAAAGGGTTTGAAACTGAACAGTAACAAGACAGGAAATTACATTTATAAAGGTCCCTTGGGTTGCTGGCAAGGAGACTGGATAATCCGTGAGGCTGAACGGGGAAACCAACTGGGGTGGTCGTGGTCATCCAGGGGAGAGATGATCACAGCTCAGTACTGGGATGGGGAGACGCCACTAGATTTAGGAGAGAGAGTGAATGGACAGGGTTTGGGAAGGCGCAAATATGGTAAAATGGGAGCCAGGCAGGAGGGTGGGAGTGGGGGAGGGGTGCATATTGGGGAAGGGCTGAGCTTGGGGAGTCAGTTTGGGACATGCTGGGGTGAGGTGCTGGGAGGTCACTCATCTGATGACTACAGCAGTTGCCCTCAGGCCCTTTGATCTTTGCTGCCCTTCTCTCTGGGGCTGTCCCAGGCAGACGATCCTGGATAGTCATTGTTTGCCCACTGGAAACAATCTGACAGTGAAGCCTGTTAAAAAGACAGGCAAGCAAGAAACACTGATTGACTCCCTATTCTACCCCTGAAGGTCTGGTACCCTTGGGCAAAACACTTGCTTTCTCTGAGCTTCAATTTTTTTTTCAAAATATGCCACATATCTCACAGGACCTTTGTGGGGTGCAGGTCAGATAGTAGATAAGCAAGCACCTTGTAAACTGTTAAGGGACAAAATACAAGGTAGCATTAGACGATCATCATTATCATTATCATGTTCTCTGATCAGACTTGGGCCATTTGTAGTTTATGTTTTCAGTTCCTTACCGCTATCATTTTATCTGACTGTCCATTTGCAGGTCAGGTATGAACATATCCAAAAGAAAGTGGAAAGTTAAGATGATAATCTATATAAATCATGTCAAAAGACAAGGCAAAAAATCTTGACGCAGGCTGATCTGGGTCACATCATGTTGAAAAAGCTGTCTAGAATCATTTGCAAAGATCCCTAAACAAAGGAGATCCCTCTATAAATACAAAGACACTTTTCCACCTCATTGCCAGGCCATAGAATTTGAGCATCTCCACCCATTCATTCATTCAACAAATATTCACTGGCATTTCCAGTGTGCTTTCTTCTAGGCATTTGAGAATGGAGGTAGGGGGTGTGGCTGCCTTCGAGGGATGCTCCATCACCCTGGAGATCATCTAGTATCTAGCTCGATTCACTGACTGTCCAGAAGGGGAAGGTGAGAATCAGTGAGGCTCAGGATTTTCCAAGGTCCCTTGAAGCTGTGGAGGAGCAGAGGGCAGCTCTTAGGATCACAGCAGATCCCTACTTGTGATCCTAAGATGCTAGTCCTTCTAAGATATCTCTGTGGGTTTGCGTTTGGAAATGCAGAGCTATATGCTTAATACTTTATCAAGAGATATCACTTATCCCCTCAGAATGCAGCAATGAGGGTTGGCCTTTGTCAGTTACTCAGGATGTCCCTTTCACCAAGCGTCCACCCTTGGACAAAAGTCTCCCTCAGAGCAAACACTGGCTGGCTGAGCCTAGACTGTGCCAGGCTGGGGAGGTGGGGCCACTGGGAGATGAATGGAGCTCAATCCTTACTCTGAACCTGGCAATCACAGTACCGTGTCCTACATGCCCCCTTGGTAGGGCTCTGGCCCTTCCCCACTCCCCACTCCGATGCCAGGAACCCAGAACCAGAAACTCCCCAGGTATTTAGAGGACAGATATTCATTGTGTAGGACTGGTGTGGGCATGTGGAGGCTGTGGGGCAGGCATTCAGATGCACCAGTCCAGCTTGTCTTGATCCTATCGTTTAGGTTGCAGACAGCCCAGAGAGAGCTGATTTGCTAGGAAAGATGCAGTTCCCAGCATAGGCGGCTTGGCTGCTGACAAATATGCTTCAGGCTTGTGCCACCTGTGTTGGGATTGCCCTCTGAATGCTGCTCCTTTGCTTTGTCTGAAAAACTCAGAGTGAGGTCAAAAGTGATGACTAGAGGGACTTCCCTATCAGCCCAGTGGTTAAGGCTCTGGGCTTCCAATGCAGGGACTGAGGTTCAGTCCCTGGTTGGGGAACTAACATCCAACATGTGTGTCTGCTCAGTCCCTCAGTTGTGTCTGAGTCTTTGCGACCACAGGGACTGTAGCCCGTCAGGCTCCAGAGTCCGTGAGATTTTCCAGGCAAGAATACTGGAGTGGGTTGCCATTTCCTCCTCCAGGGGATCTTCCTGACCCAGGGATCAAACCTAAGTCTCCTTCGTCTCCTGCATTGCAGGCAGATTCTTTACCGCTTAGCCCCTGCTACGTGTGGTGCAACCAGAAAATGAAAAGGTGACCATTAGAACAATCAACCCACATTGCACTGAATGTTTTACAGGATCCATGAAACAACTTATGACCTAGACCCTGAGAGATGGGACACTGAAGTTGCTTGCCCAAGTCACATGGCTGACCTCCAACTTAAATGCCCCTTGGTGCTATTTGGACTTGGGAGCGCCCTTGGCAAGCAGAGCCAGAGCCCTAGGGAGCACTGCAAATCCACTGTAGGACTCCAGGGCTGAGAAATAAAGACTGGGCATCCAGACCCCTGCTGCAGTGCCCTATGTGTCCCTGGGCTGTCTTCTAGGAGAGGCGTAGATTCATGGCAGCTCCCCTGGTTGGCTGAGTGAAGTCCTTGGCGGAATTGGCACAGGTCCTCTAGTTTTCTCATCACCTCTCCCCCAGTCAGAGATGGCTGCTGTCTCCTTCTGGGGGTGGGCTGGGAGAGGAGAGGCACACCAGCATCTGATAACACAGACACACCTTCGCTCATTCATCTCATATCCCTCTGAGTGTTTCTTAGGTCTCAAGTCCTGTGCTTGTTGGGCAGAAGCCCAAATGAGACAGACATTCGGCAAGCAATCGCCTAAAGGGGTCCAAATGACATTTGTGAGACGCGCCATAAAGGAGACCAGAGGGAGAAAGTCAGTTGCAGGCAGGGGAGTGTCCCCTCACTGACTGGGGATTGGGCTGAGGTCTCAAGGGTGGCAGCACTTGCTAAGAGCCGAAGGGGGTGCAGATCCGAGGCAGCGGGAATGGCAGGTAAACACACACACTTCCAGGGATGGGAGAGGGGACACTCTGGGAGGGAACTGCCATTAAGAATGAAGGGGGGAGCGGGGAGAAGAATCTGCAGAAGCAGAAGTGGGGAGAGGCCCTGGAGGGCTGACATGAGAGCCAGGTTTACAACTTGATCAACGGGCTCTGGCTGGGATGTGCGCGGCGCAGAAATCCAGGTGTTTTTCCCACCCTCACTGCCAAGGTCTGGACTCCAGGCCCACACCAGCGCTCTGCCTCTGGCCCATCCTCCCACAGCAACACAGGAGCACTTTCTCAGACAGAGCTCTGCTTGGGTCACTACCTGCAAAAAGCTGCAGGTGATAGTGTCCACCCAGACAACTGCCCTCTCTGGAGAGGCTCCTCCCCTCCCCTCTCCAGCCTTGGAATCCGCCTTTGAATAAGTTCAGTGCACACCTTCGCACCTCCATTCAGGGGTCCTGCTTTGCCCCAGTCCAGTTCAGTTCAGTCATTCAGTCGTGTCCGACTCTTTGCTTTCCCCCGGCCTGTGGTACTTTGCTCCTTCTCGGCCCATGGAACCCTCACTAACCTCGGATGCCAAGCTCAAAGTGGCTAGGCTACCTGTCCTCAGACCCGCCCCACCACAGTCAGAACTGAAGCTCTCCCCTGGCCTTCACTTCTATTTTGCTGGCATTTTATTTTATCCTTGGAAGGACTGATGGCTGAACCTGAAGCTCCAGTACTGTGGCCACCTGATGTGAAGAGCTGACTCACTGGAAAAGACCCTGATTCTGGGAAAGATTGAAGGCAGGAGGAGAAGGGGTGACAGGATGAGATGGTTGGATGGCATCACCAACTCAACAGACGTGAGTATGAGCAAGCTCCAGGAGATAGTGAAGGACAGGAAAGCCTGGCATGCTGCAGTCCATGGGGTTGCAAAGAGTTGGACACCACTGAGCGACTGAACAACAACATTTTATCCTTGACCCATTTATTGATGTTGATGTGTCTGCTCTCTAGATGGCAAGTTGCCTGAGGCTGGGGATTCTGCCTTAAGAATGTAAGTAGTAAGCCATCAGGGTCAATGGAGAACTCATTGTTAACAAATCTGAATGAAGTACCTGCTCCAAGCTACACTTTAGGGAGATGGCAGAGAACAGAGCAGTCAATCTCCTGGCGAGACTGACAATCAGAAAGATAAATGTAAAAGTATAGTGAGTGAGCTCACGAGCTGGTGTTGAGTGTGTGTGCATAAACAGAGCAGGAGAAGGAAGGCAGGCGATGTGTAATTGTGGCTTTCAGTTTTCCATTGATAGTCAGGGAATGTGACACTAGAGCAAAGACCTCAAGGAAGTGAGGGCTAGAGCCTTGCTGATTTAGGGAGCAGATCTTCCCAGACTGAGCGAGGAGCATGTGCCAAGGGCCTAGGGTGGCTATTGCTGAGTACGGGCAGGGTGAGGAGAAACTTGAGAGCTGGAATCCGAGGTGAGCGTGGTGATGAGGGTTGACTTGTAAAGTCCCCCGAGGACCATTGGAGAGATGGACTGTACCCTGGAGGGATAGGGTAAAGGTCTGAGTGTCCTTAGTGGACGAAGGGCAGGTTCAGACTTACCAGGATGCCCCCAGTTGCTGGGCAGACACAGATTGAAGCTGGTGGGGGAGATGGTATGTATGGTGATCATAAGTGCCATCCTCATCAGAGTCAGATTCTAACACCATCCACTGGGCTCATTTCTAAAGCCCTCTTCCCAGAGGGACTGGGTGCATAGAGGGCCTTTGCTAGGTCACATTTCAGATTTTTTTTTGGGGGGGTAGGTGAAGAAGGAAATGGCAACCCACTCCAGTATTCTTGCCTGGAGAATCCCAGGGACAGAGGGGCCTGGTGGGCTGCCGTCTATGGGGTCGCACAGAGTCGGACACGACTAAAGCGACTTAGCAGCAGCAGCAGCAGCAGGTAGGTGAAGATAGGAGAACCATTCTCTTTGTGTAGCTCCACCAGCCATCCTAAGAACGGTGATATCTGAAGAGATGCTGGGGACCAGTCACTGCTTCCCCTTTTCATGATGCTAAACTTAGGCCCAGAAAGAGGGCGTGGGGCGAATTTTAAATGCAGCAACACCGGTCCCATTCTCAAGAATGGCAATCTTTCATTCCCCCCTCTCCCCACCACAGGAATCCCCCTGGTTCAGGTATGGAGAAACAGTTTGTAACTTTTCCCAAAGAGGGGGACACTGGTCCATTAGCTGCTCAATGAGTCAGAGCCAGGCCTTTGTATCGCTCAGGCGGGTACCGAATGGCCTGCGGTATTAGGAGAGGTGGGGGGGATTCTGAGAACATGCTGCCATGCTCTAGGTGGGAGGGGGTCCAGGGAGAGGTAGTGTAGACCGGGTTGCCCAGTAGTGGAGAAAGTCTTCAAGGCCTGACAGGGCAGTGCTCTTCCTGAAACAGGCTGGGTCAGCAGAGTTGACCCCACTGAGTGTCCCCTTCCCTCCCCTCCCTGCCCCTCAATGCCCCCTCTGCCCTAGAGCCTTCCCAGGACTGGGTGCCTGGGGGGCTGGTAGGGCAGGCTCTCACTTCATCTTCATCTTTCCCAGGAACCCTGGTCTACCTGGCGCATCCTTGACTCTGCATTGGCTCATGTGGTTAGGATTGTGTGCCCACAAAGCAGTGGTGTGGACAGTAAATGTGGAGGAAGTCTTTTGGTTGTTGACCTACTTCCTCTTTCAGTCATCCACTGAAAGGCGAGCCAGTGGGCCTGGTGGGGCTGGTGTGGCCTTGTGTGTGTGTGTGTGTGCATGCTAAGTCCCTTCAGTCATTTCCGACTCTTTGCGACCCTATGAGCTGTAATCTCTCTGTCCATGGGATTCTCAGGCAAGAATACTGGAGTGGGTTGCCAGTTCCTTCTCCAGGGGATCTTCCCAACCCAGGGATCGAACCCACATCTCCTGTGTCTCCTGCATTGGCAAGCGGGTTCTTTAACCACGACTGCTACCTGGGAAGCTGGTGTGGCCGTGTCACACTAAACAGCACCGGCTTCTGGGCTCCCTTCTCCGGTGGCCTGACCCACGGCCCTGGGAGCAGGAGAGGTGGGATAGGCTAGCCCTAGCTGCCTGTTCCCAACCTGCAACCTGTCTTCTTCTTGAGGGTGCTGACTGTCCCTGCCACCTTGCCAATGGCCATGGAGCTGAGCTATTTAGAGTAAGACAAGCGTGACACCAGGGGTCAATCAAGAGACCCAGTTTCCAGCCCCTGCTCAGCCACCAACTCCTGGGGGGCCCTCTGCATCCAACCCATCAGAAGAGTGTCAGAAACCCTCTCTGGGAAAGCACTTTTCCTCTCTTTGGAAAGAGTACAGTTGGAAGGTAATTCCCACCCACAACCTGAGGGGGAGAGGAGATGGGAGGCCCCAGCTCCCCTGGGAGTCAGCAGAGGTGGGCAGGGGCCCTGGGAAGGCCTAGAAGCATGCAGTTAAAGACTCCGTACCTGCAAAGATGGAAATTTACAAAGGCTCCTAGATCCCTCGTAGCTCAGTGGGTAAAGAATCTACCTGCAATGCAGGAGATCTGGGTTCAATTCCTGGGTCAGGAAGATCCCCTGGAGAAGGAAATGGCAACCCACTCGAGTATTCTTGCCTGGAGAATCCCATGGACAAAGGAGCCTGGCAGGCTCTAGTCATGGGGTTGCAAGAGTTGGATACAACTTAGTGATTAAACCACCAGCACCACCACCACCACCACCACCAGATCCCTTGTGAAAGACTGCTCATTTGGGGATCTTCACAGTCAGTGAAGGTTGGGCCTCAGGGATGTTACTTTCAGCCCTGGGTGCTCAGATGGAGACCTAGGGTAGGGTGAGGTCTAAGGGACTGGGGTTTCATTTGTGTTGAATGATGAGGATTACTCCTAATTTGGGGGCAGGGGGAGAGGGTCTTGAACTGACAGGAACTGAATGGAAACCTCTTTACCACACTTTGTCATATTGCCTATCTCCTTTGAATGTTCTCCTGACATCTCCAGGCAGTGGAGTGGCTTATGGGATTCTGGTTTGAGGTTCCCTTGCATGGACGGGCCTGGCCTCCTAGGGGACTGATGTTAAAGTACTCCGGGGAGGCCCAGGCAGGGGCTCAGCACACTCCAGCACCTTGAGCTACCCCCAAGCCAAGCCACCGAGTGCTGAATTTTGCTGCAGATAGAAAAGGCAACGTGCTTTGGAACCCCTGAGTCTGGGCCATGTCTGCTCACTCCTGACTTTGTCACTTTTTATACCCTTCCAGGCTGATTCTTAGCCTCCCCTGGATGGCCTTTTATACGTGACCACCAGATCACTCTCACACCTACCCTTCCTCACCAGTGGACTGGACAATGGCCAGTGTGGAGAAGGTAGGTCGTACCACCTTTGACATGTGACACTGGGACTGGGGGAACTGAGGTGACATGGCAGAAGGCCCACCACTATGTCAGTAACAGAGCCCAAAGCTACTGCCTCTCCCCTGCCCTCCAGCCCAAGCCCCCCCTTCATCCCATCTCCTTTCTGTTACTTATGAGTAGACATTCAAGGTATGTACATGGGATTGACTTATGAGAGAGTTTTTGTGCTCAGGCTGCTGTTACGGACAGTCTGGGCTGAGGAGAAACTCAAACTGTGAGGAGCCTCCAGACTGAGACTCAGTGTGGAAGGAATGGAGAAATTGGGGAGACTGGGCCTGAGGGAGACATGGGGACTTGGGCCATAGGTGTGTTTGTGGGGGTCAGGGCAGGGAACCATGGCAACCATCTGCAGACCTCTGACACGGCTCGGTGATGTCATAGTCACTCTCTGTTGGTTCTGCTCACAGTGACCACAGGTTGCAGCTTCAGGCCAAGTGCCTCAACTGGTTAAGAGAAGGCACTGCTCAGGAGCAGACATGGAAAGTCTTCCTTCGACAAGTAAGACAAATTTTGTCACTCGAGGTATGTACACAGAAATCAGAGACCAATGGGCAGGGCTCTGGCAGTGGGTGGGAAGAGGGGATCTTGACGGTGGTGTCTGGGCATGACTTACTCTAAGCTCTCTTCCAGCAGGGAGATACTCTTACTTCTCTGGCTTGGCTTTCAAGCTGCTGCGTCTGTGAATGCCCTAGGTGTGCCCAGGTGTGTGTGTGTGAGTCTGTATACATGTGCTGCTTGTGACTTCCCTGTGCTTATGAGTGTGACCCTCACCAGCCACTCAGGGGTCTGTTAAGAAGTGCCCACGGGCTCTGAGTCTGACCATTCTGGTGTTCCCAGTTTGGTGCTTCCAACTGCTAAGGGCAGCTTCCCATTACGACCAGGACACCAGGCAATGGCCAGACCAGAAGGAGGCCTCTGTCCCACCTCATATCTCTGGCCTAGAAATGCCTGACAACACTGAGAGGCCAGGGCACTCTGGAGAGTGGTCACACTATAACTGGAGGCCCTGCTTCCCTCTGGTAAGGGTAGAAACAGAAGACGGGGGAGTGGCTTGAGAGTAGCAGACTCTGAGAACCTGGTAGTGGAAGAAGTTGGAGCCGTCAGCCTGGAGAAGAGACTTGGCCTGCTGTGCAATCTCTGAAGGATAAGGGATTAGACTGTGTGTAGGTTGGTGACCCCAGGGCTCAGAGATAGGCCCAGATGGAAGACAACCCAGAAAGGAGGTGGTAAGTTCACTGTGAATGGAGGTATGCAAGGAGAAGGTAGGTGAGTACTCAGCTAACTCTTAACAGGGCAGGGGATTAGATGAAAGAGCCTTAAGATGTCTGCATTCCGAGGAGTCTGTAAACTGGGGACCTAAGAAACTGACTTTGATACCTGTGGCTCTTGCAAAAGGGCACCGTCTTTGCCTTCATTAGGTTCCAAGTGGATCCCTAACGTTTGAAGCCCAGCAATGCCAGCTACAGGGCCACAGCCTAAGTCATGACACTCTGAGGAGCTGGCAAGAGCTGGGTGGGGGTGGGGAGGTAGGTTCATTCTGAGGTCATTTCCCTTGTACAGCTCAGACTCAGCCACAGTTGCTGGAAACAGTGTTTCAAAAACTCATCTTCAGGTGGCTCTCATTTATAAATATGTAAATTATTAATAGGTGAGTATCCTGGGCTTTCAAAGTGCTTTAGAAAGGGAATATCTGTAGAATAACTCATGATACCTCTTCCACTATTTTCTCCAAATTTCAACCCTTGAACTGTGCTCCTTTTATCAGCTTTCCTTTTTTCCCCTCCATTCTTTCCAGGAGGCTCACGGTATCTTCAAGAGGAAAGGGACCCTCAGACAGTTTTCAGCAGGGCTGACACTAGCATTTGGAATGGGACATTGCTCCCTCCTAAGCGACTCTCCTGTACAATGCAGGACATTTGGCATCTCTGGCCATCCTCGCCTATTAAATTCCAGCAGCAACATTTCCCAACATCCGTTAGAGGTGACACTGCCCTCTCCCTCTTTGAAAATCATTGCCTGAATCCCCCCCCCCAAAGAACTGACTTCCTCAAAGCCATACCACCCATTGACAAAGCCAAGGCCAGGTCAAATCCCATTCATTCATTCCAATAACTTTTATTCTTCAATAGGGTGTGTGTCAGAAGAGCAAAGGGAACGCGGGCCTAAACTGAGGTGGTAAATAGGGGACTGACTCCCTGCCCATAAAGTTACTACTACTCCCTTATGCCAAACTCTCCTTATGCCAAACTCCGTTTTCGTCCTCTAGCCCATCTACCTCGCTGGTTCCGCAATTGCAGCACAGATTGACTTTCTGGGAATTAGTGGAAAGAGCCTAGACGAGCGCGATCCTCGGGAGCACAATCAGGTTCTTTTAAGGCGGGGTGCGAGTCCCGAAACCCTGAGATCTCACAGCAGCTTTCCTGCTCGAGTGAGCAGCCGCTTTCCGCCGGGCTTACGAGAGCTAGGTGCCTGCCGCAAGGCCCCTGCAGCAGAGTCGCGGCGGAACTCGGTGGAGGTGAAGGACAGTCGACCCTCACGATCTCGGAGTTGTCCCAGGGCGGGTGGCTGGGGTGAGGGGTGGTGGGTGGGGCTGCCTAGGGGACAGGGGACCCGGGACGCAGAGGCCGCGGCTCAAAAGGAGCAGAGGGCAGCAACCCGGCTCGACCTTGCCCTCCAAACACCGGAGGCCGAGGCCGAGGCCGCAGGGAATGGCGGAGCCACCTCTCCAAAGTCCTTTGAGATGCCACCTCCTTGCGAAAAGGGCGGGGGGCGCGGGGAGTGGGCAAGCGAGATTATTATTATTCCTCGGTTTTGCCGCGGCAGCTAGCGCCGGCGGGTTGTTCTGTTTGAATGAATGAGCCCAGCGGCCGCGCCCAATGGGCTCCCGCGCCTGTTTAATATTCATGAAGCCCGCAGCCAATGGCCGGGCGAGGAGGTTGTTTTAAACGGCGGAGCCCGCTGGCCAATCAGGCGGCTCTCGTGGAGGCAGCTAGCGCGAGGCTGTGGAGCGCTGAGCCGCGCGTCGTGCCCTGCGCTGCCCAGACTAGCGAACAATACAGGTACGTTTCGCACCGCCCGCCGCCGCCACCACCGCCGCCGCCGCCGCCGCAGAAGCAGCGCCTGCACAACTTTCCTCCGGCCCGCGCCGCCGCGAGCGCGCTCCGCCGCCGCCCCCTGCCTCTCCTCCGCGCGCCCTTCCCGCCCCCTTCGCCTCCCCTCTTTGCTATAGGTGCGGGAAGGAAAAAGCGATTCAGGTGTTTCAACTTTTCCATGCATCAACCTGAGCTCCCCACTGTTGGGGCTGCGTTCCCTCCGCGGAACCCGTCCTGGCCGACGCCCCCCGGGGCAGCGGCCCAGGGACCTTGGCCCCCTCTGAAGCCAGATGTTCGGGCAGCTGCGGCGGCGCGAGCCAAGGGGCGACTGCGGGTTCGGGCGGCGCGCGTCCCGGCGCCGGGCGGCGGACCGGGGCAGGGGGCCGGTGCTTCTCCGCCCGGGACGGACTCCGGGGAGGCCGGGCGACCGCTGCCTGCCGGGGACTACGACACAGGCAAACTTCGCTCACGATCTCGGCAGGGCGCCGCGCGGCCCCGGGGGGCTGCACTGCTGCTTCTGCATTAACATGGCCGTCGCGGGAGCGCCCGGCGGCCCTGGGAGGGGGGGCGCGGGCCGGCCTCCCCCCGCTCATCTCCTGCCCGCAGGGCACCGCCGCCGCCGCCGCCGTGAACATGGCTGGCGCGGCGCGGCGCGGCGCTGGGCTCAGGCGAGCGGCGGGCGGACGGGCGGCGGGGACACCCGGGCGGGCTCCGGCCTCGGCCCAAGCGCCCGCGGCCTGGGGCGGGCGGCGTGGAGGGCCGGGGGCGCTGCCGCGGGCCCCTGCACGGCCGAGCGTCATGGCCGCACGGGCGCCTTTGTTATCCTGAGGAGTGCGCTCCGCGCCGCCGCCGGGGGCGGGGGGTCCGGCCCGCGGCCCCCGCAGCCCCGGGCGGGGCGGGGCGGGGTGGGGGCTGGCGAGCGGGCGGCGGCGGTGGCGGGGCCCGGACCGCTTTGTTCGCCGCCGCCGCCGCCGCCGCCCGCGCCGGCCGCGCGCGGATCAGCCATTTTAGCGAGCGGAGCTTGGAGGCGCGGCGGGCGCCGCGGTCACCGCCGCTGCCCGCTCGGCTCCGCGCCCCCGGCGCGCTGCCGCCGCCGCCGCCCCCCGCTCCGTGCGTCCCCCGGGGGTGGCAGTGGCGGATTTCAGGGGCACTTTCTTTCATCAGGAAGCTTTTGACAAAATGGAAGGTGAATTCTGCGTGTCCGAGTGACCCAGCGCGGGGCCGAGCCCGGCCGTCCGTGGCCGGCCCCGGGCTCCCCAGCGACCGGCGCCGCCGCACCCGCGCCGCTACCGCGGGGCCCAGATTCAGCCCCTCGGTCGCTCCCAGGGAAGGGGAGCGCTTGAATTTAGCGTGATGACCTTGGGTGTGGGAAAAGGAAAAGATGGCGGGAAGCAGGGGGGGTGGGACAGGGACGATGACACGCCACAGCTGCATTTTGATTTGGAAACTTTGCAGAAAGTGTTCCTGGCTGGACATGCTTGCCTTTTTACCGATGGGCAAGACTAGCCCTTTCGGTCTCCCCTCCCCGTTTAGGTAATGCTGAAGATACAGATTGGAACTAAATAGTACAAGGGAGATCTGCTCACTTGCTAGATTACTCTTCTTGTAAAAGCCATTTTTATAAGCCAGCACGCATCAAAAATAGTGAAATTTCAAGTGTTCCTTATTTACAGTTCTCCTGGTTTGGTCTTGTAATCCTCAGTGGCAACAGTATTGTTGTCTCTAACATAGTAAAACAGATGACCCGCTAGCCTGAAGTGGTTGGTTGCAAGCTTCTGCCACCCGCCTGCACCCTTTACCAACGTGTCCTCCGTGTGCCCTTCCCACTTTTGAATTGTAGTTTGCAACGTAGTAGTTCTGAGTCGCAATATAGCTCAGAACCACCCAACTTGGGTCGGTTCCATTTGGAGAACTTGATCACTCCTGGAGAAGTAACTCACAAACCAGCGCACTTCATGCTGGTCAAAAGTTAAATGACAAGCGACAGTGAAACTGATTTCCTCCCTACTCTGCCTTCAGCTGCTAGAGTGGCTGCAGGATGGGGGTGAGGGTTCTTCCAAAACGGCCACCTTTGGTATATCTTGCATATGTTCATTGTGTTTGTTTCTCTTTGTCTCTCTTCCCTTCATCAGTCAAGATGGCTAAAGGTGATCCCAAAAAACCAAAGGGCAAGATGTCTGCTTATGCCTTCTTTGTGCAGACGTGCAGAGAGGAACATAAGAAGAAAAACCCAGAGGTCCCTGTCAATTTTGCTGAATTTTCCAAGAAATGCTCTGAGAGGTGGAAGGTATTTTTCTTTTGTATTTTTCCAGCCACTCTTAGTTGGATTTCACACTTTCTGGTTACTGACTTCCAGTGTAGTTCCGGGTGGCTGTTTTCTTTCTCTTTACTTAGACTCATCTTGTCTCTCCTTAGAATTTTGTTTTATTTTTGAAGATTGTACAAGGGTTTAAGGCTGTCATCCCCTTTTGCAAGTGATTCTTGCAGTTGCCACCGTAATTACAGGACAGTTGAACAGGTATGTGCTCACTGCATTGAGGAATTTAACAGGTCCTGTGTTTTGCAGACCATGTCCGGGAAAGAGAAGTCGAAATTTGATGAGATGGCAAAGGCGGATAAAGTGCGCTATGATCGGGAAATGAAGGATTATGGACCAGCTAAGGGAGGCAAGAAGAAGAAGGACCCTAATGCCCCCAAGAGACCACCGTAAGTGGCTATAGGATTCAGATAGCAGTTAAGAGCTTTCCTTCTGCATTTTTAAAAAGACAACTTTACCTAAAAAGATGTTGCAATACCACAGCAAAACAATGTATACTTTGAGCTGTACAATGCAGGGCCAGGGAAATTCCTGGTTGTGGCTGTCTTCGTGAACTGTACGCATGCATGGTGGTTGGCTGTTGGCATTTCCACTGGAAAGGGGTCAGATAGCCCAGTTCTGGGGTTGCTGTCCATTGGCGTTTTCTCTATCCTTTTCCCAGTAACTGACAAAGCACCATATATTTCTGAAGCCTCTTAGGTATTCTAGTGCCCGCAACTTTGTAATATTGTGCATGGCATCACGCATTTCTTGACTTGAGGGAAGAGTCATAGTGGTAGGAATTTGTGCATTCAGCAACATGGGATCTTGACTTCAGCTCCCGTTTTAGTGGGTTCTCCCCTGATGTATACAATTCTCTCCCCACAAGGTCTGGATTTTTCCTATTTTGCTCTGAATTCCGTCCCAAGATCAAGTCTACAAACCCTGGAATCTCTATTGGAGATGTGGCGAAGAAACTGGGCGAGATGTGGAATAACTTAAGTGACAGTGAGAAGCAGCCATACATCAACAAGGCAGCAAAGCTGAAGGAGAAGTATGAGAAGGTGAGGGACCAGAGTGTACCCTGCACAGGCCGGGGCCTCTGGGAGCCTGGAAAGGTGAACGGTCAGCTGCCATGGCTGGGCTGGGGGTGGAAGGCTGCAGGCCTCGTCTCCATGCCAGATCCGCCTGGTATACTGGTGGTCCGGCTTCTGACAGATGGTTGTGTCTGAGACAGCTTTTCAGGCAGGCTTCAAAATGTGATCATATGGGGGTGCCCCCAGCAGAGGGTCAGATAGTGCTTATTCACTGGACTTCGAGAGCACGTGAACACCAATGCACTCTGCAATTGGAATGGCTGTGAACCCAGTTTGAATCTGGAAAGAAATACTTCAAAGAGCAGCCCTGTCTTCCTCCTGTGCATTCTCCTGGGGTGGGGACAGCTTGCTTCTACCCTTGACTCATTTGCAATGTGTGTCTGTCCCTTCCAGGATGTCGCAGACTATAAGTCTAAAGGGAAGTTTGATGGCGCCAAGGGTCCTGCTAAAGTTGCCCGGAAAAAGGTGGAAGAGGAAGATGAAGAGGAGGAGGAGGAGGAGGAGGACGAGGAGGAGGAGGAAGAGGATGAATAAAAAAAAAACTGTTGATCTGTCTCCTTGTGAATACCTTAGAGTAGGGAGCGCCTTGATTGACACACCTCTCACCCAAGACGTGTCTGTTGCCCTCATTAGGTTTAATTACCCAATTGGCTCATGATCATATCTTAGTCTCTCCACGTGCTCTAGCAGTTGTAAGTGGTTTACATTAAGTGGCCATGGGTGTCCGGAGCACCTGGAAACTGTATCAAAGTTGTACATATTTCCAAACATTTTTAAAATGAAAAGGCTCTCGTGTTCTCCTCACTCTGTGCACTTTGCTGTTGGTGTGACAAGGCATTTAAAGATGTTTCTGGCATTTTTTTTTTTAATTTGTAAGGTGGTGTGTTAATTCTATGGTCATTGGCTAGAAATCCCGAGTTTTCAACTGTACATATCTATAGTTTGTAAAAAGAACAAAGCAACCGAGACACACTCTTGATGCTCCTTGCTTGGTGTGGAGGCTGTGTGGGGGCAATGCCTTCCGGAGGGGCCGTAGCTCAGGGCGTGCACTGCGGGGCTGGACCTGTGGATACTGCAGTGGGCATCCATTTAGCTTCAGGTTGTCTTGTTTTTGTATATAGCGACATAGCATCCCGCTGCCATTCTTAGCTGTGGAAAGGGGAGGGGGGTCAGCAGGCATGAGAAGTGTTTTGGATCCTTTTTAGTTGAAGTGCGGTAGTTTTAAACTGTTGTTTTTTTTTTTTTAAACAAACTGTAGAACTGTTCATTGTCAGCAAAGCCAAGAGCCACTGCACCAGTGAAAGTTCAAGAACCTTCTGTACTAAACACGATCTGCAATGTTCTGTTATTTTTTTTTGTATGTTTAGAATGTTGAAATGTTTTTGAAGTTAAATAAACAGTATTACATTTTTAAAATTGTGCTCTATGATGACAGTCTAAATGTCTGACTCACAGCAGTCTTAGCAGGAGGACAACCCACTCCATGGCATCTGGTAACTAGCCTCCTGGTGAATCTGGTAAATAACTTCTCTTTAGCTTACTGTGGCCAACCTACTGAGGACAGAGATAAAGAAGGCTACTTGAAGCTACTGCGTGATTTTGTTTGTGTCTGAAAGGCATTAAGGTGAAGGCTAAGCTGCTGAATGTAGGTGCTGAGGTCACAGACAAGATTTAGCAGTCCTCAGAGGTTTAGGAAGGTGGGTGGTTAAGGTTGAGGCCGACTACTACTGGGGTTTGTTTTTGGTTTAGGTTTCTTTTTTTTAAATCTCCCACTCTACCACCCCCCCACACACACACACTGGGCAGGTGGTCAAATTCATTGCTAAACAGCAAAAAAAAACGTTCTTTCAGGCTTTTTTTTTCTTTCACCCATGCCCCCCCCCCATGCCCCAGTTACTCATAGTAGAACATTATTTTGCTCAATGATCAAGGCGTTCTTGAGCTTGGCATCCTCTCTTAGACCCCAGTGAGGGCTACATGGAGGAGGGTGCAGTGTCCTTTTCCCTCCAAATTCAAGAAACCACCTCAAGGAAGATGGCTGGGCTCCATCAAGGGGCACCTGCAGGGCAAGCTGATGGCATCAACTGCTTCTAAGTAGTAGATGTCATCAGAAAAAAAAGACTGGTCTACCCATGGTTTGAGCTTGTTTATTTGGAATATAGATTGTTAAAATGTTCTTAAGCTTGAAGAGGCTTGTTATATGTTTCAGTGTTTATTTCCTTTTGGAAGGTGTAGCATTTTGTCCAGGTTGGGCTGAGGGGTGATGGCCATCGAGGCAGATGGTGACCTTAAATATTTTGAGTGCTGCTGTGTATGTGCATTGAATTGTTGGCAGTAATGAAGGGGACTGTGTTGGGGGTGAGTGTTACCTGTCCGGCATTAATCCACAAATGTACGTGTTGGAGGC